CACATACTCACGCACAACACTATCACGACTGAATGTGACAGATAGAACGACCAGATGCATACAGAATGGACTGAATGTGACAGATCGAACGACCAGATGCATACAGAATATAAGACTGAATGTGACAGGTAGAACAACCAGACGCATACAGACTAGTAGTAGTCCTTGATTGGAACGAAGCCGTAGGAGAGGAGGGGTAGAAGAAAGAACCGACAGGGCAGGAAGGAGGATTTCGAGGGCGGAGGACAGGACACGTGTCTGTGTAGACGATCCCGTAGAAATGTGAAAGCTGTGCGGCGGAATGCTGTCGCCCCTGCTTTTATGAGTCCGGGGTAGTATCTTTTGGGTTCTGGTGCCGTTTTTTTTTTTGTTTGTTGGGGGGGGGGGGAGGGGGGTGCTGTGCGGTTTTGGGGTACTGAGAACAAGAGAAAGCCGCAGGGAGGGAAGGAGGGAGGTAGGGTAGGTAGGTGGGCTATATCTGTGCGAGGCTAGGACGCGCAAACACTGGCTACATTTTGCGACTGCGGCAATCGAGGATAGGAACCAGTCACCTATCACTGTACGTTGAACCGAGTCTAGATTACGGCGGAAATGGAGCGTAGCTTTTCTTGAAGGGGCGCGGGAGGAGGAAGGTCGGCCTGGTGGGGGGAGGGAGGGAGAGGGAGGAAGAGGAGTGAAGAAGCTTTTTTTTTTTTCGTTTGATGCGTAAATTGCGTAAATGCATCTTCTCGATTATTGAAAGGAGTTTTGGGAATGCGTGCATATTCAGTCAATTGTGTGTTTTATTATTGTTGTCGTACCAGAAAAAAAAGGTAAAAAAAACTTCACTTGCGTACGTAACTGAACTGTTCACCTCACAACACTAGGATGCAGGACAAGAGAGAAGAAGGAAGAAGAAGAAAGAAAGAAGACAGAAAGACGAAAGAAAGAAGAAAGATGTAAAAGAAGAAAGAAGAAAGAAAGAAGAAAGAAAGAAGAGAGAGGAAAGAAGAATGGAATAGAAAGAAAAAGGTAGCTTGGAAAAAATAGAGTGCGAAAACTGTTTTCTAGTGTGCTCGAAAACTGTTTTCTAGTGTGCTAGAAATTTTGACAGGTGTAGTGAATATAATATATATATGTAAAACACAAATATATGTAAGTACCTTTCACAGCTGAACTCCCACGAAACAGTCTCTGTCACAGCCCCCCTTGGTTGCTGTCCTCTTCTCTCCCTCCCTCTATGCCTACGGTGTACCGTAGGCGGTTCTGTTTGACGATATATATAGATATATATGATATATATGATATATAATATATAGATATATAAATATAATATATAGATATATAATATATAGATAATATAGTTTGTGACGATATATATGTTTGACGATATATATAGATATTAAGAACGGAAAAGAAAAAAAGCACGAAGCGAAACAACAACAGAGAAGAAAACGAGGAACTAAAAGACAGTGTATTAGTAATTTATTCAGATAGCTGAATATGGTCGTAATGACGGATCTTGTTCATGGGGTATGTTTAACTGTGCACATTTCGTTTTTTCTGGTTTTATTTTTTATTTTTTGAGCCTGTACAAACATTTACTGTGTTATATTTGGTTCACTTCTCTGGTTGCCTACGTTCCACATTTGATCGTTCGTCCGTCCCATTTCCCACAGAGATTCGCGAATATACTAGTATTTTCATTGAAATATAGATAGAAAATATCGAGGGGGATTTAATAGCGGCATAGCTAAGATATAAATAGATAGATGATCATGATGACTAATAGGCTAAGATATAAATAGATAGATGATGGAGCAAATAAACAGATGATGATAAGTACATTTTGAGATTTGGATTGATTGAAAGATGTCTTTAGATTAAGAGTTCAACGGTTTCTGTGCGCCTTTGTTTGTTTGTGTGTGTGTGTGTGTGTGTGTGTGTGTGTAGAGTGTGTGTGTGTGTGTGTGTGAGAGAGAGAGAGAGAGAGAGAGAGAGAGAGAGAGAGAGTGTAGAGTGTGT